TACCACATCTCAAAATAAGCTTTCTGACCCATCTTATTTGTTGATGAGATGAGAAGATGTTGATAAGATGAGAAAAGCCTCATCTTATTTGTCAAACTGTCTGTTTCCTTCCCCCACCCCAGATCAGCTTCCCTGAGTATGAGAATCCGGCAGTGCCAAACCAAATACAGCAGAAGCTATGGCCCATTATAACTTCTGACTCATTTGATCACATTAAGAGAATATTCCCTTGAGGCACCTGACGAGGCTGGATTGTCCTTAAGCCTTTTTTTCTTGCCCCGCTTACTCTACCTGCCCTGCTGTGGGGCCCACACCATTTGCTCTCCAAGCTTCCAGCTGATGGGTCATCATTAACTCATTCTGCTGCTTGGGGGGGCAAAGCATCAACTAGACACATGAAGGTTAAAAACCCATACAGAAATGATGAAAAAAAGCTCCAGGATTCATGAGGTTAAAATAATTTGCCTACAAACCATGAGAGACTCTTGAATGCTGACAAAAACTGAGGACTGATGGATGTGGGGGGGAGGGGGAGATGGGCATGGAGGAGGACACTTGTGGGGATGACCACTGAGTATTATGTGGAAACTAATTTGACAATAAACTATTTGTTAAAAAATAAATAAATAAAATAAAATCGATGCTTGAGGTAAAAAAATAATAATAATAAAAAATAAAAAAATAAAATAAAATAATTTGCCTACAAATACTATAAATTAGGACCACCCACATATGCATTAAGTTTTGCATAAATGTGCTTGAGAAAGTCAAGTCTTAGCTATAATTAGAGCCCCTGAAATATCAAACTAGACAGTGAGGTCATAAAAGGAAGCCTCTGGCAATCTAAGGCGAATCTCTCCACTTCAAGCACCTGCAGGGACAAGCAGGTAACAAACATGTATAAGAAAGCCAGCTCGGCCACTACAGGCATTCACATCCAGATTTTTTTTTATTTTTATTTTTTATTTTTAGGAGAGAGAGAGAGAGACAGTGTGAGCAGGGGAGGGTCAGAGAGAGAGGGAGTCACACACTGAAACAGGCTCCAGGCTCTGAGCTGGCAGTCAGCACAGAGCCCGACGCGGGGCCCGAACCCACGAACCGCGAGATCATGACCCAAGCGAAAGTCGGACGCTTAACCGACTAAGTCACCCAGGCACCCCTCGCATCCAGATTTTTAATAACATTGCCCTGGTCCCCTGTGACTCTTGCCCTAAGGGGTTGCACACAGCTGAGATTAGAAAGAAGACATTTAATGAAAGTGCAATATTCCCCAGCAGAAAAAAATGTGAATACCAGAAATATAGGCAGGAGACACGTAAGTTTGATGGCTCTCCAATAAAAATTTAAATTTAAATTTAAAAACCCACATTTACCCATAAAGGAGTAGGATAAATATTGATAGAGAATCTGAAGGTTGATAAAGGCAAACAGAGGAAATGTGAGGCAAAAAGTCCATAAGGTAGTTCCCAGTGGGAAAGATTTTCAAACTCTGGATGCCAGGGAGGATGTTGTCATCGTGGCCTTTACTGGAGCAAGGGCACATCCAAGGTGCCGGGCTCATAAAGTCATGAGGCTAGAAAAGACCAAGGATTTTTTATTCTGAGATGTTTATCCATCTGCAATTTAATAGGGAACATGGTAAAATTACACATACTCCTGCCTTTTAATACCAACTGCTAAGTCGCTTCATCTTCCTAGGCCTCGGTTACCTCAGCTGTTAAGTGAGGGAGGTGAACCAGATGATTTCTGAGTTCCTATCCAGCTTTTAAGAAAAGCTCATGTCTGCGAAAAATGCTCATGCACTTGTGTGTTCAGGAACCCACTCCTTACTAATGTGCCACGTTACCTTCGTGTATTCTGAAATGACTACAGCTAAACTAACACTGTAAATTGCATAATTACTGGCTTGAAGCAGAAAATAACACAGCATTTCTAATTATCTCTGCGATAATGGTATCATGTCACCTATGGAGATGATAAAAATAAACCACAAGCAAAGACAAATCTTTAACATATTCCTCACAGCTGAGACACCATGTGAAACTATTTCTGCCCTCTTTCCCCCACACTGCTAGACTAATTTAAGTTAAAAGAAGGGCAGATCAAGAACAGCTTACACGGAGAAAGCTTGGGCTAGAAATGTATTTGTACCATTATGGTCTGTGTGGTCTAGAGGGAAGCACGGTAGTCTAGATTAGATTCTAGACATAACCCTTCTGGTCACCGTGTAATTCTGGGCAAGATATTCAGCTTTTCTTAACTCCATTTTCTGTTTACAGAAAGCAATAATTCTACATATTTCTTCCACCTGAGAAATGTGCTAAGTACAGAAAAAAGTGTGTGAAAAATTTGAGTTCTAGGGAGGAATGGTATTATAGGCAATAACGGAGCATGTTAATAACAAAAAGTACTGATTTAACAATTTTTTAAAATTCACTACCATGACTGGATCAAAGGCAATAGGGATAGAGAGTCACTCAACCAGAGTAAAAAACGGGGTCATGAGTAAGTAGAAGCAGTGAAGACTATGACAGTGCAGCACAGCAGAAAGCCAAACCCTCCCCAGTGGATTGAACGTGGCTAGAGTAGGCATGAGAGGCACAGACCTGGCTTACAGGCTCCTGCTTTGTGAACAAAAACATCTCCATCTTCCTGTATTTCTTCATTTCTCCCTCCCTCCCTCCCTTCTCCTCCTCTTTCCTTCGACCCTTCCTTCCACACATTTAAAAATTTTTCATCGAGGGCTTATATGGACACAGCTCTCAAGCTGTTTCCAAACCTAGTTATTTAAACAAATGACTAAAGTTCCATAATCAATAAATGTGACTAAGGGACCATGTGTTCTCTCCCGGTGTCCAGGTCTTTGCTAACAGCATTGTCATTGGCATCCTAATGGCTGTTTCTAAAGAGGCTCTGACAGGGAGACAGGAAGGTGGGGAACAGAAGGCAGGGCTGCCAAGGCTCCCAGAGATGTGCCAGCCAATCAGGGGGCCGATCCCATCTCTTCAGTTTTTCACATATTTGTCCCTCTCCCTCAAGCCCCCTTTGTTTTTCCAATCAGTAAGGAAGGAGAGAGAGCCATGTACTACGTGCTGATCATAGTAAATGTTTTTCATTTACTATCTCATTAAGCTTAAATGTTTATTTCTTACGAAAATAATCCTGTAATAGTGGACAGAAGACAGATGAGTAGAGGCCAAAGGACCAGTTTGGAGGATGTTAACAAGGGCAAGGTGGAGGGGGCCTAGATTAAGACAAACTGTATTAGAACTGTTTCTAGGTGGAAAGACATTTCTATTCTCAAATGTCATATTAAAAATATTCTTTTGGAATAAAAGTTAGGTTCTGTCCATGTGTAAGTAAAGTAAAAAATATTTCAAATCAGGAGCACCTGGGTGGCTCAATGGTTAAGTGTCTGACTTTGGCTCATGATCTTGTGGTTTGTAGGTTTGAGGCCCGCGTTGGGCTCTGTGCTGACAGCTCAGAGCCTGGAGCCTGATTTAGATTCTGTATCTCTCTCTCTCTGCCCCTCCCCTGCTCGGGCTCTCTTGTCCCTCTCTCTCAAAAATAAAATAAACATTAAAAAACTTTTTTAAATATTTCAAATCATAGGATTAGAAACCCATGACCTCAAACCGGGTATTTTCCCCACCCCCAATTTACAGGCTGAATTACACATATATCACAATGGTAATAATTAAGGGGCACCTGGCTGGCTCCTTCGGACCATGGAACTCCTGATGTTGAGGTTGTGAGTTTGAGCCCCATGTTGGGTGTAGAAGTTACTTAAATAAATAAAACTTAAAAGAAAGGTAATAATTAAATATTACAATGGTAATAATTATAGCTTTTTTTTTTAAGTATGTCTCTATTCCAGGCATTGTGCTAGGTACTTTACAAACGCCCCAGTGACAAGGGAGGCGTTATTATACCCATTGTCACAAGGAAAAAATTAAGACTCTGGAAAGTTAAGTAACATGTCCAGGGTCGTGTAAGTAGGAAGGGATAAAGGCAGACCCAAACACTGGTGTGTCTGCCTCCGGAGTCTGTGCTTATTAGATTACGCTATCCTGTCTCTATGTTTATCTTCTTAGGTTTTCGTTTGCATTCCTTTTTACTTCTAGGAATGCTGATTGAGGGGAAAAGGAAGCAAGGGGAAGAGCATCAGCATGGGGGTGGGAAGGAGCACATAATACATGTAAGAAGGAAGAAGAGAAAACCACACCACTTCTCTCTGATACTACGGTCCTTGCTTTAGAAGGAAATAGATAGTACAGCTGCTGCATTTAATTAATTTATGTACGTGATGTTCCTTGCCGTGGCCATAAAGACAGACACTATGAGGGAAGCAGGACTCGGGAGCCGCTGCCTGTGAGGGACACAAGTGCAACACCATTGATTGCTTAGCCCCTCTGACCACGGGCAGGGCTGAGTGGATGCCCACGGCCATCACTGACTGCTCCCGTTGGGGCAAGCTGAGTCTCTCTCCACCGTGGCTTGTAGGCGCCATGACTCTGCAGCCTGTTCACATCTCCTGATCCCAGTCTTTCTCTTTGTCTCTTCCCCTTTATTCTGATGACCACAATCCAAGCAAACACCAGAAGGGATGGGGCTCATCTGGATTACATTAGCTGCTTGTATTATGCTATTTACATTTATGAAATATGGTATCGCGAGACCGCATTTAGTAAAACTTCTCCTTAAAAATAGTTTTATTCTCTAATCCACTTTTTATTGGTTAGAAGCAAAACAAAATGGCCCATATATTTAAAAGCAGAGGGAAGAAAAAAGACATACCATTCTAGAAATGTCTAGCAAGCAAATACCCCAAGAATATTTATCCAAGTGGTTACCCTGGGATATCTGAGGGGAAATGTGAAAGCAATTTTCTTGGCTATCATCACTTTAATATGAAATGTAAACCCCAAATACAACCTCAGGCGCATTCCTTTAATTTGAGAAAAGTAGTCGTGTTTAGGGAGCACAGATGAAGCTCTTACCTGGCATGACCATGGTCTGTGGGGCTGCCGCATCCGTACTTAAGCAGAGCCGTCCACCTTTGGCTAATCTATCGCAGAGCAAGGTGATATGTTTCTTGAGTCGGCTTGTGTCTTTGGGTATGTTCAGCTGGCTGCTGAGGTTCAAAGCCTGCTCCTTTGAACTCTTTGAGAGGCAAGTCTTCAAGAGGTGGGAAATGGCAGCATCCACTGTTTCTTCCCAGCCCTAGATGCAAAAGCCAATGTTGCATTTAGGCAAAGATGACAAATGAGCAAAGTAGGCACTTACTGTTCACCAAGTAGGAAGACTGAGTGTTTACGTCCAAGTGTTAGGGACCTGTTGGAAGTTTGGTTTCTGGAATATTTCATACCAGATTGGTTTTGAATTCTAGCTCCATCAGCTGTTTGATCTTGAGCAAGTTACTTAATTCCTCTTAGCCTCATCCTTATCTACAAATGAGGATACTAATATTAGTCTGCAGTGCCAAAGGCTGGGGTGATTAAATGAGAAGCTATATGAAAAGCATTTAGCCCTGTGCCAGACGTAAGTAATAAATAACAATAATAATAATCCCAGGTTTAGGCATGTTTGATGATCTGGATCCTGAAGCTGCCAAGATTATAGTTCATTTTGCCTTATCTTTCTGCTGAAGGAGTACTGGCCAGGACAGGGAGGTCCTGTGAACATCTTGGGGTAAACTGGAAGAAAGAGAAAATCCTGGTGTCTCTCACAGCTATTGGTCCCACAGCCTTGGAGTTCTAGGCAGAAACCAGAGGAGTTTATTTCAAGAGGAATTTTGTGAGATGCAAGCCTCTCCAGTCCCACTTTTGCTGGAACTGGTATGGCTATGCTACAGTGAAAACCTCAAGAAGTGCAGTGTCCCCTTAGCACCATGAAGGCTGTAATTCTAGGAATAACGATGTTGGGCAGGGACCTCTTCATGATTATAGAGGGTACCAGCTCCGGCACGACTGGCACAAGGAAAAATCACCCTCAGGTGGGTTCAGATAACAACAGGGCAGGAAGGAGGGTTCAGCTATAAGCTCCCATTGGGCATCCCGAGGGAGTCCTAGAAGCAACTAGGTACAACTTTTACAAAGGTCTGGAGGTCCTAAACAGCACAATAAGACAGCACGAGTGAAATCTGGGTATTATTACCAATGTGACTTCATTTGTGCCCAGAGGTTGGTAAAGCCTAGAGCTCCACAGGACTGACAATCAAAATGGAAATACAGAGGAAGACACTTAGTGAATCTATTCACTTAGAATGCTACAGAATAGTCTAAGCCCCTTATATAAGAGGTGAGAAATCTGAGACTCAGAAGGAACCCCCAGGAGGTCTACTGTTAGTACTGCTCCACCACCCTCAGCCTTATTGGCTAAGCTACCTTTGAAATATGCAAATTGGATTAGGTTACTCCTTACCCTGTGCTGTGGTGGCTGGCTGCATATTTGGTTTCCCACCAGAGTGCCTGGAGTTCTCTGTACCCCTGGCACTATGTTTAATAAACAGAAGGTGATCAAGATATATGTTAGCTGGACAGAGATATAGTGAGATAGAGAACTAGGATATTAGGGCTGGGAGGACTTTGGAGGTCTTTGGTCCAGTCTTGTGGGATTTTCCTAGGACCCTATATACAATAGCAACCATCTGTCTAGGCATGGTTGTCTTCACAGTCCAAAATTACAACTTTTGGAGGCAGTTCACTACTTCCAGGGACATGTGTAACCAGCAGACAGCTATTCTTAAGCTGAGCCAAAATCTGCCCCACTGGCCCTTAGTCTACCCTCCAGAGCCATGCACGATAAATCTAACCTCTCTTCTACATGACAGCCCTTTATATCTGTGAAGACAGCAGTTTTGTACCCTCTCCTCCAGAATAAACAGCCTCGGTTCCTCCAGCTCTTCCTAATATAAACATGGTTTCAAGTTTTCTCTCTATCCTGACCACTTGTCTTTGAATGAGCTCCAATTTTAAACACTTAAAATTTTATACAGCTAACTAGAGAACCCCAAACTGACCCCAAGACACCAGACTAGGGATGGGACTACAGGTTAGGAAAAAGCCATTCCTCCCATTTACAGGGAATTCTACCGGTCAGCCTGGCCTCTGGTTGCCTCTGCTCTCTTGGCAGCTGCATCAACTCTGGATTCACATGAGTGACCAGATGACTAAACTCCATACCTTTTCCATACTTGCCACACATCTTCCTCCGGGGCTCTTGCAGTTGGTTCTTTAGCCCTAAGGGTGGACTTTATACATGTCCACTGGAGAACTTCCCACTAATTGCCAAAATCAAGGTATTTTTACTTTAGTGACTCATTATAGTTACTACTAGGCAAATTAGGGTACAAATTAATTACTTTACAATGATCTTGAAAATTTCAAGAGATGTCAAAGACCGTAAAAATAGCTTCCTACTCCAAACCACTAAAGAATAATAAACCATTAGTTACCACAAAGACATCTCTATACAACTACCAAAATCTAGACAAATATCTAAAATGGAATCTGTATTTCAATGATAATGGGAAGAGGTAAATTAAGAAAAAATAGCAAACCAGGTATCATCTAAGAGGATATATTTTTCAAGCTGTTTTCAGAGTCACTAACAAAGACTTCTGGAGTGTAAGAAGGAAAGATCTTTTGTATATAATTTGGCATTTGTGTGCTCTGTGGCCATTTCAGCATTGAAACAGTTCCTATGATTTTATATACTATTTGTCTAAGCAAACTACTATTTTCATAAGTAGATTACAGTAGCATATTAGATCATTTAAGTAGATACGGCATTTAGTTAACATGGAGGTACTATGAATTTCCTTTTTACTGCCAACTTGCAGATCAAATAAAAAACCATGTCATGTTTAGGTATTTGGCATGGATATTTCTTTAATATAATGAGGCATGATGCCAATACTTCAGAAGGATTGGTACTAAACTATGGGATTATTATTTGGAAGGACTATATTGTTACATAAACTCAAATATGATAATAAAAGGAAAGTTTATGCACATATCTAATCTTTATTCTGTACAGCTGAGTATCAATCGTACTAATATTTTGCCTCTTCTAACTGTGAGAGTGAAAGAAAATCCTAATTTTGGGAAAACTGTGCTAAAAGTTATCTAGAAGAGGAGAAGCTACTAAGCAAGTGCTCTTCAGTGAGAACTGATTTGATTTTACTTCTCCAGTCCCATGTGTGGCTTTTAAAACATTGCAGGTGGGCAGTTTAGTTAATTAATTAATGTGTGAATAAACCAATAAATAAATTTAAATGCAATTGTTACTCTGTTTTATCTTCTCTATAACCCATGTTGGTTTAGAAGTTAATTTATTTACCAGGTTTTTGGTGCTTACTTTATCTAGTCTAGTATTGATAACTGGGGTTTTCCTTTGTTCCTAAGGACTAGGCTCAACCCATGTGGTAACTTCACTTTTGTCTTAGTCCTTTCTACCTGAGCCCCTACATTGGGAGCCTCCTTACAACGTTACTCCTTTACAGACCAGGTTGCCTTACTCCTGCTAAATGCCCTCCAAGGAACTGGACCCAGCAGGTGTGGCCCTGCTGTCTGACTACCCTAATGCCAAGTTGCCTGCTACACGCATCCGTCAACATGGCGTCCCAGTGCTCAGCTCTCATGTTTCACCTTCCTGTGTAGAAGCTGCTATTCCCCATGCTGGTTCCAGATACCTCTCTGTACCAGGATGACGCCTCACTTCTATGAGTCAGCTTTGTAAATTCAAGGCCTTGGCTTCCCCTCTCTGTTCCTCCTCCTTACTGAAGTCAGTCAAGTGAGCTATGCTTTTTGCTGTTCAGAGAGCAGGCAGCCACTGCTGAGTTTCCGACTTCTGCTCTACCTGCTCTGCTAGTCTGCACTGGTCACTGTGCCTAAACACCAGCACAAGCAAGTGGTTTATGAGAAACAGCGAGAAGGTGAAAGCTTGACCACATTTGTAAAGTTAATTTCCTAGGGTGTCAACCAAAGTAACCAAAGGAAAAAAAATTAAACCTGAAGAGTATTCTCCTACCACCTGTGCTTTACGACAACCGGGTTGAAGACAGCTGCCTCTAGGTTTCTAGGTCTGACTTCACCTCATTCACCTCAACTGTCCCTTCACTGTAAGACCTTAGATAAATCACTTAATCTCTGGGGGCTACATCTGAGGTCACCATAAAACAGGAATAACACTATTTGCTATCCCAGTCTTACATGAATGGTAAGGCACCCTGAAATAGTAAGCAGAAGATACCATAAAAAAAGTACATATATTCAATTCTACTTTGAAAAATCAGAACATAAAAATACACCATTGAAATCCAATGTGTAAAGTAACATCTTTAAACTTTCATGCAAATTAATAAAACTTCTGCAAATTTACGTTTATAATAGAAACACTACCACATCCTTAGCTATAGTAGTATAGGGGGAAATACCACAAAACTCCATTACCAAATGTGCACACAGTTCTAAGGGAGAGAACAAAGGTAAAAAAGGAGATCTGTCTAAAGAAGCAAATGGAGATCATGTAGCCATAGCCTAGATTTCAGCTGAGGAGAGAAAACTCTCAGAAATAGCTTGTCTTACACTATACATTTGAAGATAATATAACCTTTACCTCATTCATTTATCTGAAAAAGAGAACTATATCAAAGAGAAGTGAATTTCCTCTTGAATAGATGTAAAGGGTGCACAAGGAAAAGTCTTTGGTATTTATGATTTCTCTCTGGAGCTTTATGGTCATTACTTTGTGTTATATTGTAGCATTTCAGGCTTAGCCAAGATAAGCTAAAAATAATCACAGGAAGGGTCACTGCAAACTGAGGTACAAACAAAGTTTAGTGCTATACTTGTAAATTATACATTCTGGAAGATGAGGGAATTTTTCAGGATTTGTCTAGATTCAGTTTATTTCCAAAGAATAGACTGTATTCAGTGAATCTTTCTCTTATGGAGAGACCTCAAAATGTTGAGCTACTTACCCTGAAAAGTAAAACACCTCTTTCAACCTAAAACACAGTAAAATAAAAGGGGATTAAGAGTATGCTTATTGTGATGAGCACTGAGCAATGTCTAGAATTGCTGGATCACACTATACTGTATGCCTGAAACTAACGTAACACTGTATGTTAACTATACTGGAATTGAAATTTTTAAAAACAGTGGAAAATTACCAAATAATAAACACAAATCTTTAAGAGTTAAAAAAAGAAAAAGACA